AACTTGTGCTATGTGTAGGAGTTAGTCCTCCTTAAACTCCCTATGTTATCCACTGTTGTAAAAAACAGTTACTGTTATAATGTAACCACAAACTGTCACAGTTATCATGTAAGAGATCAGCAAGATAAAGAGACCGAGGTAAAAGATAGAGGCTCACAATATCCATAAAACTGGGATATGTTGACTCCAAACATGACAAATTGCTCCACTGTACAAATGGGGCTGTTAAGAATGAGAATTTGGAATCTCAGGAGAACCAGGCCATTTTAATCTTTGCCTTTTGGTGTTACCTCTAATCCTAAATAATCATGATAAGTGACATTGTTAGGTTTATCTGACTACACTTCTTGAGAACATGTACATTAGATGAAGAATTTCAGTTAGTCAAGAAGTCTCAAGTAGTATATGTACAACATAACATAACTTTACCTTTCTACAACTGTGATTTATTCTCTTCCTCACATTTAAATTGCCACCTATTCTCCTCATCAGATTCAATAATCTCAATATATCTTCCCAATACAAGAAAAAATAAGTTCAAGGCTATGTAAACACAAGATTCTGAAATATAACTTTCTGTGGTAAGTCTTAAAATAGAATTAAGACTTAACAAACATGTGTTCTGCTGCAGTGACAGCAAAAAAAAAAAGACATCAAATAAATTGAGCGTCTATGAGGGAAAGCTGTAGCTCAGATGAACTGAATTTTTAATTGAGATGAAATTCTTATAACATTAACCATTTTAAAGTATACAATTCAGTGGCATTTCATATACTTAGAATGTGGTACAACCATAACCTCTCTGTTTTCCAAAACATTTTCATATCACCAGAGGAGATTCCATACACATTAACCAGTCACTCCTCAGTCTTTTCTCCCTATCAGCCTCTGGGAACCACTAATCTGCTTTTTGACTCTATGGATTTACCTATTCTGGATACTTCATATAAATGGAATCATAAGAGTATTTTGGGTCTGGCTCCTTTCAGTTTTCAAAGTTCATCTATGCTATCGCACATAGCGCTTCATTTATGTATTGAATAATATTCCATTCTACGGACAGACCACATTCTGTTTGTCCATTCATCTGCTGATGGGCATCTGGGTTGTTTCCATGTTAGCTGTTGTGAATAGTGCTGCTACAAATGTAAATATTTGTGTACAAGACTTTGATTACCTGTTTCAATTATTTGGGGTATATTCCTAGGAACAGAATTATTGGGTCATATAGTAAGTCTACGTTTAACTTTCTGAAGAACTGAGGTAAATTAATTTTTGACAGGTTTTTTTTTGTTTTGTTTTGTTTTGTTTTTGAGATGGAGTCTAGCTCTGTTACCCAGGCTGGAATGCAGGGGCGCCATCTTGGCTCACTGCAACCTCCGCCTCCTGAGTTCAAGCAATTCTCCTGCCTCCTGAGCAGCTGGGGGACTACAGGCATGCGCCACCACATTCAGCTAATTTTTGTATTTTTAGTAGAGACAGGTTTCACCATGTTGGCCAGGCTGGTCTAGAACTCCTTGCCTCCAGTGATCTGCCCACTTCAGCCTCCCCAAAGTGCTGGGATTACAGGCATAAGCCACCATGCTTGGCGTTGACAGGTTTTTAAAAATTGAACATTCAACACTTCTCAGTTAGTAAAAAGAAACCTGATAGGCTCAAAATTCTTTTTCTTCCAGGCACTACAGAAAAAATTATTTTGTACATTTCAATTTGTAAATTTTTGTGCAAAAATTTTATTCATATTTAGGGAAAGGTGTAATGAGTTAAGGCCAGTATCCTTAAATCAACCAAATTTGCAAACTTTCAACTTTTTTTTTTTTTAACATACTGAATACAAATTCAGGATTCTTCATTCCTAGGTTCAACCAACCTGTCAATGTGCAAACATACTAGTTTCTATAAACAGACAAAGTAATGTGAATTATATTACAGATTTATAACTGAGTTAAAACCTTCATAGTATGACTCAGTTATCAAAATGAGAGAGATAATATCTCACATTCTGTTTGGATAGAGGTAGAACATGCATGAGTGAGATTATGGGTATAAGTATAACCAAATGCATCATACACATAATTTTTCCAAGATGTTTATAGTATTACCCCCCAATTAATGTGTTCTGGATCTAGAGTATGCATGAGAGTCATGTGCCTAGATATGCAAGAGTAATAGGACTGTGATCATGCCTGTGACTAATCAAGAGACAAGTGATCAAAAATTGGTCCAAAAGCAGTTTAGGGAAATTATAAACTACTGTTATGTGCCATGTGATGTTTCAGTCAATGATAGACATCATATACAACAGTGGTCTCATAATATTATAATGGACCTGAAAAACTCCTATAGCCTAGTGATGCTGTACCTGCTGTAACATAGTAGCACAATGCATTTCCTTTTCTATGTTTAGATATACTTAGATACACAAACACTTACCATTGTGTTACAACTATCTACAGTATTCAGTACCATAATATGCTGTACAGGTTTGTAGCCTATTATTTAACAGGTTGTACCATGTAGCCTAGGTGTGCAGTAAGCTATACTACCTAGTTTTGTTAAGTGTACTCTGATGTTTGCACAATGATGAAATGGCCTAATAACACATCTCTCGGAATTCATCCCCGTTGTTAAGCAATGTATGACTGTATATTCCTCCTACTCCTTCAGCTAGCATTATGCTACTATTTGGCATTAAACAAAGCTCACTGTTGCTTCATAAACTGCTTATATTGTATGTAAGAAGATCAATTAAAAAGTATATACTTGACATTCATTATGCTATATTCTCTGAATTCTGGCATGGACTGCATCTGTGTATGTGACCTAACAGCTTTTATACTCTAAAATATGTTCCACAAGAAAAGAATGTGTTGGAATCAGCTATTAGGCACTGACAGGTGACCAAAAAGGTGTAGAATCTCTGTGAAAGCTGTTGGTGAAATCCATGTGCTATTACAGAGAGAAAACAAGCAATAGTAGATTATGGTAGCCGATGCTACCAGCAATCTTTGTAACCCAAGAGGAATCAATGTCTCTTACGACATACTCAAGTATTACTTCAAGTCAGTCAGGTCAAGAAGAAACTCAACAGATAACCTATTTGCCCTTCTTTACTACCTATTAAAAGTTACTACCGTAATAAAAGAAGTTTTAATAAACACATACAAATTGAAAAACAAATATTTTTAATCTTTCACCATTTGTTAAAAACAAAGCATGTTTTATGATAGTTAATACCAAAATATTCCAGAAAATATGCAACTGGTCTAAAATATTAGCTAAAACATACGTTCATTTTCTTTGACTCATACCTTCTCTTTAGGAAAAGAGATGTGTCTTGTAGTCAAATACTAAAAATATGTCACAGAAACCATCCACTATGATATATACTGTGCTTATTTTATTCCTGATCATTGGCAAACACATTGGCAAGACCCCTCTATCATAAAAGTAAGCACACTGGGCTTCCCACCAAAAATTCAATGAGGGGGTCTAAAAGAGAATTAAGGATTTTGCTCTGTGTATCTAGAAGAGGTCCTCTGGCAAGAGGAACAACAGTAAAATCATAAAGTAATCTTTGAGATTTGACCCAAATGTAATTTGGATTTAAAATAATATCCAAATTATTATATTAAATTTCCTCTCCTCCCTACCATGACAAAAACAAAACGACACCAGGCGCGGTGGTTCACACCTGTAATCCCAGCACTTTGGGAGGCCGAGGCAGGCAGATCACTTGAGGTCAGGAGTTCAAGACTAGCCTGGTCAACATGGTGAAACTCCATCCCTACTAAAAATACAAAAAACTTAGCTGGGCATGGTGGCCCATGCCTGTAATCCCAACTACTCAGGAGGCTGAGGCAGGAGAATCACTTGGAACCCAGGAGGCAGAGGTTGCAGTGAGCTGACATTGTGCCACTGCACTCCAGCCTGGGCACAGAGCGAGACTGTCTCAAAAAAAAAAAGGTAGATGTTATCAAGGAAAACCTTAACAAATGAACGAAAGGCTCCTTGCAGAACAGTAGCAATGCTTGTAGACTTGGAAGTGAAGAAATCTGGGTTCTAAAGTACTGGTTCTGGAGCTGGGTAACCTTGAGCAAATAATGACCCTTCTGAGGAAAGGAAATAAGAAAACTGAAGCCTGGGTAGGATAAATGGCTTACCCAGAGTCATCAACTAGGAAATGTTTAAGTGTATTAGTGTATCCAAAATCCAAACCCATGATTTTAAAAGTCCAGAGCCCACTCCACTATACCTTTTCGTCTGTCAAAATGTAAATATTTGCATTCTAGTGGAAGGGGTAAGCGTATTCATGCTTTCTAACCACTGCCACAAATCTCTAACAGGAGAATTTCAGGCACAGGTAAGGAAGATTTGCCAGATACTCTGCACATCATGACACACTGAAAGCCAGTCACGTAAGTTCCTTCCCAGTTATTATTATGACATCCCTAGGGCTATTTCAGATTTGAGTATGTAGCCTTCCTCTAGAAATTTCAACAGGATTTTGTATTTAATACATTTAACAAGCTCTTATTTTAACATCTGGATACTACTACTTTATGTTGTAAAAAGCACTGTCGAATGCATGAAACATTATGAAACTATGATGAAGCCACAAACAGAAATTTCACACACTTCCTATGCACTTTCAAGCTGTATTAACTGTAGTTATAATAACGAAAATATTAATAGTTATTTAACAATCAAGATAATATTATAAAATGCACCCTTATTTAAGAACTAGTGAAAAATGGAAGGATATGTGGAATAGAACAATTCATCAGGGTTTGAGACCAGGTATCGTAATGTTGGAGTGAGAAGGAAATATTTCAGTTAGTAAGCAAACAAAAGTTGTACAGTCTTCAATTTCCTAAGAAACCATGGAATGAGACAGAAATAAACAAAAGGAAGCTATTATGAACTTATCTAAAAAGTATATTTACATTCTATTCATAAAGTAAAAGGAAGAAGCATCTCCCCCTATGCCAAATATTTACCATTATCCTTGCTGCTGTTTTCTTCAATAGTCATTTGTTCAGCCAATTCAGACAATGATTCATCAATAGTCTGGCTTCCTCGAAGAGTGAGGGATAGCCTTCTCTTAAATTTTTTCATCCTATCAATTGAATGTGGCTTGAAAAATCCTGAAAGAAAAGAATAAACACAAAACTAAAGCTATAAATATTTTACCACTAAAGAAAAATACCACCTGGGTTTACTGTAAATTTTAAAAATAGGAATATAATGAGGAATTCTCACTTCTGCCAAACATCACCAAATCCAACCCCTTTTTAAAAAAGATCCACCTACTCTGAATAATGCTGTATTTATTTGGCATCATCAGAAGAGCAGGAATTCTATAAACTAAAGAGTGGGACTTTAAGCATCACAAATAAGTTTAGAAGGATTGGAAATTTTCTTAAAAATGTGTATTTTAAAAGCCATTTTAGTAAAATATCAACATTATTTTGATGCTTAGGTTCCATCACATAAATATCAATCATCATATTGGAACCAGCCAGTGGTATCTTCAGATGCAACTGGGGGGAGGGTAAGGTAATGGAGGAAGACAAAGAACAATGTTTGACAATTAAACAGCTCCAACAAGAAATTTTCCTTTTTACGCTCTTACACAGCCAGTACATTAGAGTTTGGTTTTGTTTTTCCTTGTTAGGCTTTCAAGTGTCTCTTTCACACTAAGAGAACCAAGCTTTAGAATGAAGAAACGAAAGCCAAATTAGCTGGTACTGAATGCCCGACACACAGTAGATACTTTCCTATCTCTCATTAAGTCTTCCTCATTCTGAAAAGCAAAGTACACTATCCCATTTTCATACATGAGGAAACATGCTCAAAGAAGTTCCTTGACTCATGTCAAACAAATAAATGACAGAACTGAGATTTAAAACCAGAATTACCACTTACTTTTTCCTCCACACTTTAACATCTTTGAAATCAGAATGTATCTCACAATTAATATGGTATCAAAACGTAACTGGCAGTATTTTTTCTTACGGGTACATAAATTAATGGTATAATTCACAGTAGAGTCTTGGATATGATGAAACAAGGTACTCATGCCAAACCCAAATTCTTGACCCACAATTTCCTTTCTAACTTGGTATTTCTGTGATGAGCTGGCTTACCAGATTGCCATGCACGCTATAACCATTATCCCAATCAATCAAGAATAAGGGCCACATAACACCTCTATGTTAAAGTACTGGGGATTTACCATCCAGCTCCGGATATCTATTTTGTATCTGTACATGTTTTGCTTATTTTTTCAGTATAAGAGTTTATTCTAAGTAACTGAGTTTACTGAACAGGTAATCTATGCATATTAGCTATAGAATAATTTTTGTTTGCTCAAAAGCTGATCACAAATAAACTTTTAAGTAATAATTTTATATTTTACCACTTTCATATTATATACTTCTATTTTAAAATAGAAACCAGCTTGGCATAGTGGCTCATGCTTGTAACCCTGGCATTTTGGGAGGCCAAGGCAGGAGGATCTCTTGGGGTCAGGAGGTTAAGATCAGCCTGGGAAACAGTGAGAACTTGTCTCTACTGAAAAAAACAAAAAAATTAGGCAGGCATGGTGGCATCTGCCTATATGCTCAGCTACTCAGGAGACTGGGGTGGGAGGATCACTTTGAGCCCAGGAATTTGAGGCTGCAGTGAGCTACGAATGTGCCACTGCACTCCAGCCTGAGTGATAGAATGAGATGCTGTCTTTTAAATAATGTTAATAAATTTTTAAAATCCACTATAATAAAAATACCAAAAAATACTAAACACACATTAAAATAGCAAGAGTTGCGACTGCACTTCAATAAGGACTCTTTTCACCCATATGCTCTAAAATACGAGACATACTTTGGTGAGATATACTTTGGTGAAATATTGAAAAGTTCCTATTCCTTAGCTCAGTTTAAAGTCAAGTTTATGCTCCTAAATGTTTTCTATTAATGTATCCTCCAGTTCACAAATCTTCTTTTCATCTGTGTCTAATCTACAGTTAAACCCATCTGTTGTGCTCCAAGTTTTAGTTACTGTATTTTTCAGCTCTAGAATTTCCATTTGATTCTTTTCTACAGATGCTAGTTCTCTAGTGAAATTCTCCACCTCGGCATCTATTTTCATCAACCAAATACAGTATTTTACAGCCCCTGTTTTTAACTCCAAAGTCTGCACAATCTGTGAATCGGTTTCTCTTGTCAATTTTCTTCTCTTGATCTTCCTGTATGCTTAGTAATTTTTTATTGTATGTAAGACATTGAGTTATCATTCGCAAATGTGTATAGAAAAACTGTTGAGCCTCCAGATGACGTCACCTTCCTCCAGAGAGGATTTAATTATTATTTTTTTTAACAGTCTCTGTAGGAGCAGACTGACACAATCCAATTGGGACTGAGCTGACTTGAGACTGGGTTTCAGACACTATAAAGATTGGTAGGCCTCTGATTTGTCCTCACTCTATGGTGTGGCTCTTCAACAGATTCTAACTGTAAACCTAGGGCCAGAACAACAACAACAAACTACTGAAAGCTCCATTCAACTTCTTCAGTCGTTTTTTGCTCATCTCTTACGCCTTGCTCAGCTTTTATCTTCTTACCCCCAACAGTTTAAGAGTTGGAAAATGGATCAAGAGGAAAACCAGCACAAAGTGTGTCTGCCTCACTTCTCTCCTGAATCTTGACTCTTCAAGTGTTGATTCACGGAGAACCTTTACAATGCCTTCAAAATGATTTTTTCCCCCAGCATTTCTAGTTTTCAGCAGTTTTAGTCTGTTACAAGTTACTCCATCATAGGCAGAAATGGAGGTTTTGATGTGGATTAGATAATACATGCACTTTCCAAGCAAGGTGAATTTAAAGGAGAAAGTAAACCATGAAGTTGATTCCAATTAAGAAACCTGTTAATTGTATGGTTATCCTAAATGCTATTCTTTACTTGTGATAATCAACCTTTATAGCTCTAACCAGAGTCAGTAACTCAGGCCATTTGTTTAAACATATTAGATATTTAAGTTGTACTGAGCTGTTGCCACTCTCATCTACGCTTTGTTTCTGTAAGACTTTACACTAGCGACATCTTCCTTTGTTAGGCTCCCAAATCACCCTGTGCAGTAAAGAAGTAACTAGGGAGGCTTGGGGTACTCTAACTCTGCACATTCTGAAAAAAGCACTAGTCTGTGAGAGGCTCCTGGGAGATAACCTCCGAGCCCTTGGAATATCCTGCCTGGTAAGAGTGTCTCTGTATAAAAGAGACCTTGGATCACATCAGATAATCTATATAAACAATATGAATTATGTTTAATGCTTGTTTTGTATGCCTGGGGCTTTTGCACATACTGTATCAGTCTGATTTCTCAGGTGAGGAAGGACCTGCAGGAGAGGCTGGAGATTGAGTAACTAAAGTCAGTCATATAAGCACTCCATGCCTAACAGATCCACAGTAATTTTCTTGCACAACAAGACTCAGGTGAGCTTCTCTGGTTAAAGCTCTTTGCATGTTGTCATAGCCCATGCAACTCCAGTGGAAGAAGACAAATGAAAGCTCACATCTGGATCCTCTTGGACTTCAAGCTATATACCTTTTCTTTTTGTTGATTTTCACTGGTATCTTTTAGCCATAACAAATCATAACCATGAGTTTAACAGCTTCTCATAACCATGAGTTTAACAGCTTTTCTACGAGTCCTTCGAGCAAATCAAGCATGATGGGTTGGTCTTGGGGATTCCCAACGCACACTCCAAGATATCTGCATGCCCCAACAACAAGTCCTAAGAGATGGTAGCTCATAACTACCAACATTTCTGACTCCAACTTTCTCAAACACAGGCATCTAGTCACTAATGCGTATCCAACTATACAGACATCACCACTTCAGAATCTTGCCACACCACTTTTGAATGACCATTTTGCTGACCACTGGACCTGCCTATTGTTCTGGATGACAAATAAGGACCAAATAATAAAATATTACAGAAATGTTACTACAGAATTAATTCATATAACATAGTAACATTCTGTAACATAGACCAACTATAAATGGATTCAGTATCTATTACAGCACAGAACTGAGCTGTCCAAAACTGTAGCCAACAGCAGGCTAATAAGCACTTATTATGTATGTAGACACACTTGAAAGTATGTAGTCCAAACTGAGTTGTGCTCCAACTGTAAAATACACAGTGGACTTTGGTTGCCAGGGGCTGGGGGAAGGACAGGAATGGGAAGTTATGCTTTCATGGGTACAGAGTTTACATCTTGCAAGATGAAATGAATTCTGGAGATGGAAAATGGTGAAAGACGCAGAAAAATATGAAATAAATACTGCTGAACTGCACTTCAAAATGGTAAAAATAGTAAATTTTGTTACGTGTATTTTACAACTTTTTTAAAAATTAAAAAAAAAACCTTAGTGGCTTCAGACAATAACATTTATTATCCCTCACCATAAAAAGGTTAATAACTATTATATTAATAACATGTTGAGGGCCAAGCGCAATGGCTCATGCCTGTAATCCCAGCACTCGGAGAGGCCGAGGTGAGCGGATCACTTGAGGCCAGGAGTTCAAGATCAGCCTGGTCAACATGGCAAAACTCCACCTCTACTAAAAATACAAAAATTAGCCAGGAATGGTGGTGCGCACCTATAATCCTAGCTACTTGGGCTGCAGCATGAGAATCACTTGATCCCAGGGGGCAGAGGTTGCAGTGAGCTAGGATTGTGTCATTGCACTCCAGCCTGGGTGACAGAGTGACTCTGTCGCAATAAATAAATAAATAAAATAATGTTGAAAAATATTTTAGATGTTTGGTTAAGTAAAAAATATCACCAAAATTAACTCAGCCTTTTAAAAAGTTTTCAAAAAATATCCCTACAAAAATCTTAAAAATTACATATGGGGTGCCCATTACATTTCCACTGGACAATGCTGATATGGAGCATCAAGTAGATCTTCATGGTTTTAAGAGAGTCCAAAAGAAAAAAAATAGAATCACATAAACCTTAATCTTTTCTTCATATAGTGCACTTGAACAATATATCAGAGGACATTCTATGTGCTTCTAACTCAGAATAATATGCATGGCACTTATTTCATCATCAAAGAGTGAAGAAAATCCTTGT